TCAGTGGACTCTCGCTCTCTCTAACTAAAGAGAGGCGCCCATTACCTGGGATACCCTCACTCTAGGTGAGACTCACGTTTTCCCTCGAACCAGGAAACGCGAGTATGTTCCCCCGCTCTAAGCGGACCCTTACCGGGCTATTCCTCATGTGAGCTGAATTTTCCGCTCTAGGCGGACCCCACTTACCTCGGGGCTTACCGGTACCGTTCGCGCAGGGCTCCAACCAGGAACGGGACTGCAGTTCCCGGGTTTCTGCACCACTTGTCGCGCGGCCTTGCATGCAAGAACGACGCGACCACTGGTTGGTTTTCTGCGCAGCTCTTTATTGTTCTCTTACATCCGTCTTCTCTCCATCTTCTCTCCCCCAAGGCCCCTGCTCTTAGCTTATAAGTCCCAGGGCTTCCAACCATGGGGTGCCACATGTGTACTGCCCATTGGTCCAGGTATGCGGAAGCAATGCATTAGCCCAAGCCTTGGCCATATATGGAGTTGTTTACTCCAGGAGCACTCACCCCTTGAGGGGGTGGAAGGCGGAAACCGGCACCATCCTAGGGCACAGCTACACGCAGCTCCCTACACACAGGAACTCTTGCAGCAACTCTGCAAAGGCCTGTGGCTGTCGCATTAATATTATTATTCCTTAGTTACCTCAGACTGATCAGGCCCACAATCTCCCAAACAAGTGAATGGCAAAGGCTTAAATAAAAGAGGCAAGTGGTTGATTTGGGAGTCCAAGAGGTTCAAAACCCTTGAACAGAATTCAGCATTCTTTGGGGGCTAAGACGACATTCCTGGGCATCCCATATTTATTTGGTTTTGAAACACAAGAGAGAGGAGAGGGGCCAGTCAGATAGCTCAGTGGACTAAGCACCTGCTTAGGCAAGCACAAGGACAGGGGTTCGATTCCCTGCACCACATACTGTGCCGGTCCCACCCCCAAGCACTCTGAGCTGGCAGCCGCAGAGTCCAGGTATGGAGACACATACCTGTAATCCCAGAGCTGGGGAGGCTGGAAATAGGATCACTATGAGTCTGAGCTGCGCAGTGAGACCCTGTATCAAATACATTAACAAAATAAAATAAAGGACTGTCACACACACACACACACACACACACACACACACACACACACGGGGTGTGCTGAGTCAGCGATTGAGACTGGGCGTGGTGGCACATGCCTGTAATCCCAGCTCTTGGGAGGCTGTAAACAGGCGGATCACTGCAAGTCTGATCTAGTAGCAAGACCCTGAACACCCTGTAGACCCTTCCCTAAAATACAGAAAAATAAATAAATAAAAACAAAATAAAAAGGAGAGAAAAAGATACTGAAGAAAACATGAAAATCTTAGCAAGGTCTTGGGAGATATTTTCCCAAGTAGTAAATTATATCAATCAGGAGGACTACCTTTCTTTCGGTTGACATTTAGTGTCTCCTTTTAGTTTATTGGAGTTAGAGCCACATGTCCTCAGCTGTGGCCTGCTCTTGTCCCTTGAGGCATCGTGGCTCCACAGGCCACTGCAGGCCTCGGGGACCAGTGACTCACAGAGGCTCCCTGACGGTGAGTCTGCTGCCTGTCTCCAGACAAGGGGCGCAGGCCCGGAACAGACTCACGGGTAGACATGGAAAGCCAGGTGGGTAATTCTGAATCCTGCTCAGAGCCGCTTCGTAGTGGTCTCTATTGTACTGCAACATCTCCATTTGTTTGGTGAACTGTCCAGAGGAAGGCAGGCCGGCCCAGGGCTGAGGCCAGGGAGCAGAGGAGCTGCGCTTCGGTCCCAGCTCTGACCCCTCCTCCGCTGTGCATGTGCTGCCCCTCGAAGCAGCCACGTCCCCCAAGGAGAGGTCTCATCGGCAAGAAACGCATTTGGCTGGTGTTAAGGAATCTCCGTCAGCATTTCGAGTGGCAGGAAGGCTGGGAGGTTGGTCTCTGTGAGCCCAGGGCGGTGTATTTTTCCCCTCTTAGAACCAGGGCCAAAATAACATCTAAGATGCTATTAAGTGGGCAAAAATGCCATCCAGGGTGAGGCCTGGGGCCATGCTGAGCTGGAGAAGTGAAAACGGCAGTGTGACAGCAACAGGAAAGGACCCTCCTGGCCAGGGTGAGTGACTGCAGGGCTGGGGGGGGGGGAGGCCGCCACCCCCCAGGCAGGGCTGTGGTTTCACTGCCGCTAGTCTGAGAGGAAGGCCCTGGGTAGCGAATGGTGTGAGGGAAGGGGGCAGGACAGAGCAGAGACGGCAGCAGCGTGCGGCCCTATGTCCACTGTCTGCTCTAGGTCACTGGTCTTCCTGTGCTCACAGCCAAGGGAGCGCTGAACTTCACTCAGTCACAAGCAGCACAGTACAGCTTTTTGAAAGTATGGTCTCTGGCCCTGGAGCCTCAATCTTGCCTTAGAATTTATAGAAATGTAAATCATCAGAAACAGCAAAAATTAGTCTTCTCAAATACTGGTGGCCTGCACTGGTTTCCAGTTTAGCTGTTTTCTGAATAGGCAGCTCTCCTAGGGGTAGGACACGTGGGTCACTGGGGATTTAAGGATTATTTGCCAATTCTCCAGTGCAGTGGTTTTCAAAGCGCGCTGCCTGGACCAGCAGCAGCCACACCAGGGCACTTGTCAGAAGTGCAAAGTCAAGCGTGCACCGCGGACCTCCAGAGTCAGCGGCACCCGGGCGTGGGCCAACAATCTGCGCTTTCAAGCCCCCTGATGACTCTGAGGCACATCCGAGTTGGAGACCTGGGACCTGGGACCACCAGTCCCTCACAGGGGCAGGGCATGCTCCTGGAGCCCGGGCATGTGAACTCTAAGATGAGCTCAAGGCGGGCTGGAGGAGGCAGTGGATCCCCCAAGAAAAGGTGCACAGAGGGGACTGGCAGTGATAAACATGGCCGCAGGGTGTGGGTGCAGGAAGCAGGTCACAGAGGTGCAAAGACTATAGTCAAAGGCCACCTTCTGTCAAAGTTCAGGGTGGGAGACAGACGAGCAGTGCCTTCTACACCTTCAGAGGTGGTGGCACTGCAGGGCACTGCTCAGATGGAGGTGGCGGAGTCCATCAGCCTTGGTGTGCACCCGCACTCTTGTAGTCTATCTTTTCTTCTTGCTCTTCTGATTCATCCTTCCAGCAATAACCCCTACGGGTACCAGGTGTCATTGGTAAGGTTGGGACAGGAGAGGCTGGTGTGACGGACTGCACAGTTCTTCCCTCTCAGGCTCAGCCTGGAACAGAGGCAAGAACATGAGTGAAGAGCATCAGTGGCAAGGTTAATGCTTTACACCCTGTTTATAGCAGCGCGACTCATAAGAGCTGAATCCTGGAAGCAGCCTGTGCACCCACCAACAGGAGGATGGGTAAAGCAGTAGCTATGTACAGAGCTGCTCTGCTGTAAAGAAGGATCCACCTGAGGGGCCGGGGCGATGGCTCAGTAGAATAAGTGCTTGCCGGGCAAGCACAAGAGCCTGAGTTCAATTTCTGGACGTTAAAAAAAAAAAAAAAAAAAAAAAGGATGCACTTGAGACCAGAATGTGAAGTGAAATAAGTAAGACACGCAAGTGTAAACAGTGCCTGGTTTCTTATATGAGAAACCCAAAGTACATGTAACGAGCAAACAAAAGCTGGATAATAGGCGACCGGGAGCTAGATAGATCTTTTGCAAAAGGGAAGAGATCAAGAGATGGTGGAATGGGAGAGGAAGAGGATGTAAGAAGAATGAGGGTGTGTGTGTGTGTGTGTGTGTGTGTGTGTGTGTACCAACTCCCCGTGATGAATGTAATCATTATGTACTGCAAACATGCACAAAGAAAAGTTTAAGAAAAGACTGAGTTAAGAAGAATGTTAACGTTAGCGGCAGCGTGACTGCAGGGTTGCAGCCTTGTGTGTTAAGGACTTTTGTCAAGGCCAGGTGTGTTCAGCAAGTGAACACTGGGACGTCACTGGGAGCAGCGCTACAAGGAAGGCAGGGATATGGTGGGCAAATCCTCCATGCGCTAGGCACCCACAAGCGTCTTGTGTCTTATTTATTTAACCCTCACAAAACCCCAGTGACCTGGGAGAGTGAGGAGCACGCTAAAACGTTTGGGATTATCCTGAGGCCGTCCTGGGGGTGTGCTGAGGAGCCAAGGGCCTGGGCATGATGAGTCTCACTTCTGACAGCCCCTGAGAGTTGCTTGAGGAATTCATTCCAGGAAACAGCGAGCCCACAGCCCCACCCAGGTGAGCGGCGCAGGTCTTGAGCTCTGGTCTCGCGGAGGGCTGCAGCTGTGTGTTGACAACACCTCTCCTGCCACAGAAGTCGGGGATCTGTGTTGAGGTGCATCGAAAATGTTGTGATGACCTGACTCTAATATTGGCGTGTTGCTTTCCTTTTAGGGATGTCCAAGTCACGGGTGAGTGTCTTTTCTCTTGCGCTTACTTGCGTTTCATGAACGGCATGATCTGCTCTGCTCCTGCATGCTTGCCTCTGGGCCCCGCCCACTTACTGAACACGTATTGCGCGCCTGTGTATCCGTGTGAGAGAGCTCCTCTCTTTAGGAAATGCTGCATGTTTCCTGCTCAGACTAGTGCTAAAACTAGTTGCTTGATTACCCTGCTACCTCTATGTGAACAAGTGCTGTAAAGGAATAAAGATTTTAACCCGAGATGCTGCCTCTGGCTGGTCGCTAGGAAGCTGCTCAGTGTGCCTGGCCGCTTTGCACGCCACTGGCACTAGCTTGTGAGTGCGGACCAGAGACAGCAGATTCCAGCCTCCTGTGTCTCTCTTTCTGCCAGACTTGCATTGGTTACCCCCTGAGCATCTTCTTCATCGTGGTCAATGAGTTCTGTGAGAGATTCTCCTACTATGGAATGAGAGGTAACTGTTAGCCACCTGGCCCTCTGGGTGAAGGGCGCTGTGGCCGCAGCCTGTCCTAACTCTGTGCCCCTCCTCCTCCACCTGCGCTCTGCCGGAAGCACTGCTGGTCCTGTACTTCCGAAACTTCATCGGCTGGGATGACAACCTGTCCACCGCCATCTACCACACGTTCGTCGCCCTCTGCTACCTGACGCCAATCCTCGGGGCTCTGATTGCAGACTCTTGGCTGGGGAAGTTCAAGTGAGTGGTGGGGACTTCTCATTAGCAAGTCAAAATGCAAATGTACATTGTAAGGTCTGGGATGGTGGACTTGGGGAATGAAGAACCGAGAAACATAAGCTCTTAGGAGAGCATTTGGGTTCTGTTTTGCTAACATCATACCCCATAAGGCCTAACAGCACCTGGCATCTAACAACATCAATGCAATTACATAACGTCGTATCTTGAAATAGTGGCAGAGACCCTACTATTCATGATGAAAGCAAGAAAAAAAGATGCTGCATATCCTGCCTCTGAGAGCTCACATTGCTCAAAAGGAAGAAGGTGGAGCTTCTTCCAGGCCTTAAGACTGGCAAAGGCAGGGCAAGGGTTTTCACTGTCTCCAAAGAAGCCTATAAAAATAACCAGTGAGTGTTCCTGGCCAACTATTGCTACCAACCATAAGACTGGTAACTTTCTACTTAAATTTATGACATTAATTTCTAAAAATAAATAAATTAACAAAAAATGAGTCTTTTGACAACTTGAAACATGAAGAAAGTCTTTCTCCTGATCCTCTGGCCAAAGCTTTGCTCTGCACCTGTGTGCCGTGCCATTCTGAGAGTTTCCAGATTTACCCACATTGTAGAAACAAGTTCATTCATGATTGGGCTCTTGTTTTGAAGGACAAGGGATAGAAAGTGGATAGCCATGGCAGTTAACCAAGATTCCCTGCACCTTTTCCAACACAGGACAATTATATGGCTCTCCATCGTGTACACCATAGGACAAGGAGTCATCTCAATAAGCTCGATTAATGACCTCACAGACCATGACCACGATGGAGTCCCCAACAAAATGCCCGTGCACGTGTGAGTTGGTTTCCCTAGGTGTCTGGCTCTTGCTCTCATGTCTCATCTTGTTCCTGCAATGTCGCCCTTACTGGAGAGGGTTGTGCCCTTACTCAGCAGCGGAGTAAAGGAGGCTGGTGACAACGTTGGTCTTCCTCATGATGTGTGGTCAGTGGAGGGTATCTGTGTCCTCCGTGGGTTTCCATAGGGTCCACAGCTCTTGTTGACCTCAGACCTTAACACCATGCAGTCTCCTCAAACCCTGGGACCTTTGGTTTTTCCCTGTGTACCACATACCTGCTCCTGTTTCAGTGACTGAGTGCATAAACCTTTGGTCCAGCCATCTGTTTGGGGCTATTGAAGATGAGAAGTGCAGACAAGTGTTCCTCTGCTGGGTTCCCTTCCTTCCCTATAGCCTGGCCTCAGACACTCATTATGAACATTGATCTTTCCTCTTCTTGTTCATCACCTCCATGATACCTGAGCAAGCCAGGCCACAGGCTTGGGATTGCATTTGAAACTTGAGTCTGTACCAATGTTTTTGGCCCAGAACAAGGCCTTGACACCTTGCCTCGGTGGCCAAAGGAAGTATTTGTGAGGGAAACAACACTGAACACAGCGGATGACTCAAATACCAGAGGCTGAACCCAAGAAATGACCTTGGGAAAATTGGCTTCTTAAGAACATGGACTTTGCTGGGTGTGGTGACACATGTTCGTAATTGTAGCACTCTGGGAGGCTGAGGCAGGAGGATTGCGGGTTGAAGGCCAGCCTGCTAACTTAGCAAGACCCTGTCTCAAAATCTAAGTAAACAAACAAACTGATCATGAACTTGGAGACGGATGATGTTCAAATCCAGCAGTGCCTTCAGGTAGTCATGTGATCTTGGCAAGTCTAACTCCCTTTGCCTCAGTTTCTCCACTTACTGTAGTCCCACCTCAGCTGGGATTGCTGAAGACAAGTGCAGGAGAATACCCGGAAGACTCCCTGGTAATCAGCGGGCACTCATGAGATACGGGCTGCTTATGCTTCCTTCCCTGGGGTTGATATGGGACCAGGCCTGGAATTCTCACCAGAGTAAATGGGATGTAATGTTCAACTCATCAGGTTTCTGTTGACTTTAAAATACTTAGAGTATTTTACTTAGAGTGACCACTTCAGACATGAGACACAAGAGGAGCTGAGGCCAGTCAGTGCAGGAAGACGGACTCAGGAAGCATGCCATCTAAACTATGTTTTATAGTTTCTTTTTTGCTTTTTGCGCTTTTTTTATTTTTTATTTTTTTATTTTTGTCCTGGCAATTGAACCCAGCACCTTCCCACTGAGCTACATCCCAGCTCTTTTATTTTTTAATTGGAGACATGGTCTCACTAAGTTGCCCAGGCTGGGCTCAAACTGGCGGTCCTGCTGTGTCAGCCTCCCAGAGTGCCTGTATTATAGGCTCGCACCACCATGCCTGGGTTTAGTATTTTTACCTGATTAGCCACCCAGAAGATGTAAGATAGGTATTTGTAAGGCCTAAAATGTATAGTACCTGTCAGAACCTCACACAGGGCACCAAATCTCAGGTTAGACACCAAGGAGCGACCAGGACCACTGGACAGACAGCATTGAAGCACATAGTGATATCTTTATTTCAGATTGGGTGCAGCTTGGTCAAGGCTGAGAAGGCCACTGACCACAAACAAAGGAAGAGAACATGCTTTATAGACTAGCTTAGGTAGGAGAGGGCTGTTTCACTGAGCAAGATAGAAAACTTGAAGTTCCTCAGGGCTCATGGCGGGGTCTGGTGCCTTTTTCAGGTGAGGGAAGCAGAGGGTGACAGTGATAGTCTGCTGATTTACATGTCACTCTCTAGAGTCACAGCGTTTCCTGTAAGCCCGAGAGCCTGGCCCAGGAGCCATCCTGATTAGCAGATTTATTTCAGTCTCTCAGGTTGAGTGAGTCCGGAGCTTCCTGCTTGAAGAGTGGTGGCCTGTAGTTTTCTCCTCAGGTTGGGAGAGGTCTAACTGTGAGCACCTAACAGTACTCAACTGCAAACTTAGTAAAGCTACAAAAAGACAAAGGATAAATACGATGATTTTATTTTCAGTTCAGGATATAAAACACAGATAATCTAGAAAATACAAAAGTAAGATAAATCACCCTTCATCCTACCATCTGGACATAATAATGAATCTTTTGTTTCTTTTTGCTTTTCTGTCCTTTGTAAACAAATTAAGACCATACTGCGTAACCTGATATTCTACTCTGCAATGAAATCATGATTTCCATGGACAGTTAATGACTGCCAGGAGTCTAGTTCCATTGCATAATACAATGTTTGCATTTGGTCACTGATTTTTTGTGCATGTGTGTTGGAGACCAAACCTAGGCCTTGTGCATGCTAAGCATATACTCTACTTCTGAGCTACAGCCCCAGCTGCTTAATTATTGTTTCATTCACACATTCTTCTACTGGAAATGATATGGCTACAAAATACCTCTAGTCTTTGTTCACATAATGACACATTGCTTTCAGATTTCTAGATGATGAATTAGTAGACAAGGGTAAAGGCTCTAGCTAAGCCTCATGAGTTCAACTTTTCAGTCAGCTCTCAGATTGCGGTCCTGAGAATTATTTTCTTGTCGAGTCTGTGTCCGTCCCCCATGTTTACAGCTGTCCTCTGTCCTCTGAGGAACAGAGGAAGGCTCCTGTGACTAAGGACCTACCTGCAGCCTGCTCCTCTCCCCAGGGCACTGTCCATGATTGGCCTGATCCTGATCGCTCTCGGCACGGGAGGAATCAAGCCGTGTGTGTCTGCCTTTGGTGGTGATCAGTTTGAGGAGGGCCAGGTAAGTGTGTAACCTCTGGGAATCAGACCCCGTGGACACAGAGCCCGGTCTCCATTCTGTTGGGGGGCACTTGAAAGTGAGACCCCAACCAAAGCCAGGTCAGGTGTCAGTGCTACCTGCTTAGAAGAAATGGAGCCCAGATCATCAGATTCTAACTTTATGCTTTCCATCACAGGAAAAACAAAGGAACAGATTTTTTTCCATCTTTTATTTGGCCATTAATGCTGGAAGTTTGCTCTCGACCATCATCACTCCCATCCTCAGAGGTGAGGAACATCTGAAAGGGTTTCTCTTTTTCACTTGTGAAGAAGGTGTTCAGGAAAGGAGGTCAGGTCACTGTGGCTTTGGCTCGTCCCCACCCTCACAGAGCTTAGCTGTCCTGCACTGGGGTGAACCGCCAAAACATGAGCTGCTTTTCTTCCAGCTTTTACACCCCTTCCTGATCTTATCTGAACCCCTGGTCCCATTCCCCACTGGAGAGTTTTGGTCATCGCTAGTACAGACACTGATCTCTCTAGTTTTTCATTAGTGCACAATCTGTGTTCGGGGTAAGAAATAAGAGTCAGGAAGGTTGCATGGGCACAAGGCCCAGCGGGCTCCGACTGACACTTCAGCTTTTAGCTCTGCTCCCCACTGATGTTTGAGCGGGCAGAAGAAGCCAGTGAGCAAGGTTTTGTCCTTTGCTTTCCTCACATCTCAAGCATTCTGGAAGCACCACCCAGAGCAAGAGAATGAGGCCGTAAATATACACAACTGTCAACAGCACTCAGATCTTTGATCTGCTCACTTCCATTGAGTGTCGGTGAATTTCTACCATATTTCTCTGAAATATGGTTCTTATCTTAGTTTTTGCTCCAAAAGATGCAGAGTTTGGCTTATTTTCAAGGCATATTTTATTTTTTCATGTACAATAATCTCCATTTATTCATGTAACGAAATCTACATTATCCAACAGAGTCATTCATCCTCCTCTCAAACATTGTCATAACTCTGTAAACCCCAAATTCTGGCCTGAACTTCTTACAGCTCTATTCCTTGTAGCCATTGGCGCCAGTCTTTCTTGTCCAGCAATAGAGCTGTCTCTAACCAAGTGTATCTTGTCCATGTAGCCTGCTTGCGGCACACTGGCAAAATAGCTGCCAGTGAATTTATACCATGAATTCTTCACCCATGTCATGACCTCTTGCCAGCCGGGCTTTGCAAAGTTTCTGGTAAATCAAGTGTTAACTGAAAACTATTAAAAGATAGGAGTGGCAACAAAAGTGGTGACAATTAAGAATAATGGTCCAGCTAGGCATGGTGGCACACACCTGTAATCCCAGCACTCAGGAGGCTGAAGCAGGAGGATCACTTCAAGTTTGAGACCAGCCTGGGCTACAAAGTGAGCTCAAAGCAATTCAAAGCCAGCCTGAACTGCATAATGAAACCCTGTCTTAAAAAAAGAGTAATGGTCCACACAAAACAACAAAAAAAATTGCAGGCACCAAAATTCAGAAAACATCCCTTTCCACAAGTGCATTACTTATATCTGTTACAACAGATGACATACTGAATCATGATGGTTTGTATTGGACACAACCACATCTGTTCATTATCAAGTGCATGTGTCATTTCTATAGTGCGTCTGTATTCGGATTGGTCATTCAGCAATAAATCTCAAGTTCCTCAGTTTATGTAGGTGTGCACCTCTCATCCAAAGGTGTCTGATTGGGTATTTACAAATACTGTACTTAATTATAATTTAAAGTATCATTTATTTTAAGTATTAAGATCAATAATATTTATGTTTAGTTATACATGAATATTCTTTTACAATTTCGTACATCTGTCCTCTGCTGCAGCAGGCATACGAAATGTGTCCATCTAGCTAATGATCTTAATTGAGGCTTATTACAGGGGTAGGGCTTATCCATCACAAGCATCCTGAAAAGCCTTATTTTCTCATGAGATCTTATTTTCAAGGAAGTACAGTATGGGGAAGGGAAAGTCTGGCATTATTTGGGATAACTTAACAAAGGCATGGTATCCTCATTGAAATCAAATGAAGTCATGCAATAAGATATTTTATAAGAATTCATACATTTCTACTTAGTAGCTTGAAAATGACAGACACGGAATCTCCCTTCCAACTTTCTAATTAATGAGAGAACTAGGGGCCGGGGAGATGGCTCAGTAGAATAAGTGCTTCCCTGGCAAGCGTAAGGGCCTGAGTTCAATCCCCAGTTCCACAAAAAAAAAAAAAAGAGAACGAGAACTAGAAAGTTGTTAATCAGTTCAAATAAGGGTTTTTTTCCAACAGAGATCTTCACACTTTATAGGAGGAATTATTTTGTATTGTCGTGAATGGGAATCATTTGCATGTCTATCAACAGAAAATCTTTTCCCACGGGTAACCTTCTGCCTCTACAGAAATGTGAAATGGTTACCAAAGACAAGACAAGATCCCTGAAGGGTCAGATCATTCCTGTGGGCTCCAGCAGCCGACTAAAAGGGTTCCCAGTCATCCCTGTTGCCCTCGCAAAGCCTTACGGTTTTCCTACCAGCACTAGGACTTCAAAGCTAAAAGAACGCTTGGAGGTCGCCAGGCTATGGCCTATAGGCCGAATCCTGAAAACCGGACAAGGACATTGAGCTAGTTGCTGTTTCCGACTGCTTCCCCTACAAAGGCAGAGCTGAGCATTCATTATTAAGGCCACATGGCTCCCAAGTCTAAAATTCTGGACTTCCACAGAAAATAGTTGTCAACCTCTGCCTGAACTAATTATTACTTGATTATCACACATACAGGAATATGAATGTTCATTTTCCAGTGTGTGTTTGCTTTTATTTACTGAGGTCCATATATGTACTCAAATTATTGCATTTTGGTTATATTTATTTAGGAAATCCACAGAATAGGACCTATCTAGGATCACACATCTATTTAGAAGTTAAGATTGAACTGAGCTCCATCTCCTGCTCTTTCTACTATCATGCTGTTCTGCTCAGCGGCAATGACATCATTTAGACAAATCAAGAGGTGGTAAACGTTAAGCAAAAACAGCGTATAATTACCAGGGCATTACTAATACCATAATGAATGTGAATCTTGTCATTTCTCCCCAGTTCAACAATGTGGAATTTACAGTCAACAAGCTTGTTACCCCCTGGCCTTTGGGGTTCCTGCTGCTCTCATGGCTGTGTCCCTAAGTAAGTAGAAATCAGATTAATGGAAGCCTTTGGCCAAGTCAGACCTTATGTTAATTATGGTGACTAAGTTTTTAAAGTCTAAATAACAAGTTGTAATAACAAAATAGAGTGAAGAGTTAGGTGCTAACCACCCTGTCTCCTAGAGAAAAGAAAGTGAGGACTTACAAGAAAAGGAATCAGCTGAACTGGACATTTACAGGCCGAGTGCCATAGAACTTTAGGCAGATGAAGGTGCAGGCGGTAGAGTCTGTAGGGCAGCTGAGCATGTGCCTGGAAGCTTTTGTTCTTAGCAACATTTCTTCCCTAGATCTTGTTTTCAGGAATGGCAACCTGGCTCAGCTGCCCCTGAAATACTTCCGATGCTTATTTCCGTTTCCATCCCCACCAGCCCAAATGACTCTGCTAGAACCCCTTCCCTCGGAAGGCACCCGGCGCATGTCAGACGCATTCACTCGCACGTTCTTTGCACTGGATTTTGAGGAAAAGTGAAGTTTCTACCTGGGAAGGTCTGGCTTGGAGGGTGGCAGCGCAAGCACACAGCCCCGTGGCCACCTCATATCTTTGCAGCCCTTCCACTCTGGTGACCCAGCTGTGAGCAATGGCATCACTTTCTCCAGTTTTGTTTTCAGATTTTGCTAGTGGCAAACAGGCCCAGTTTTTTGTTTATTTGGTTGGTTTGGTTTGGTTTTCCCAACAGGCCCAAGTTTTGTCTCTCGCTCGTGTTGTAGCTATTTGGCTTTGTTCCCATGTTCATGGAAGAGCACATTGTTGTCCTCTTTTCAGTATGTCCCTTCCCTTCCATAATTCTTCAAAGACTGCTACACTCCCCTAAAGGCTCATGTGTGGTTCTTCTCTTTAATTCCGGGTGACAAACAGCATTTTTAAAGCTCCTGTTTCGCCAGACAATGTAGTATGCACCGTAGGTAAATTCTTATTTAGTCTGCATGTCAATCTTAAAGTTCTTCTTATGGAAGAATTGAGAACAGACAAAAATCTTATACATCAACACCACCTCTAGGAACTCCTGTGTCTGAATTAGGTTGCAGTTTATCAAAAGCTGAAAGACTCCCCAGGGTGTTGGCACACACATCT